GGGAATGTATCAGTGTTTATTTTTGAGACTGACAATTCGGGTGAAAATCAGGATAAAAACAAAAAAACAACAATTTGGTTGAAATAAAATTGTTTGTTTTCCTCTATTTAGAATTCTTTCCAAAAAATCTTGGTTCAGGAGGAGGCTTTTTAATTTATTTTATTCAGTGTATTTGCTGTTCTATTCAAGCACCATCTGTCTTGCAGGTAGCTAACTTTGGGGAAGCTCCTAAGTCAGCTGGGCAAAGGACCACACAGAAACTATGCAAACACCTCCACGTCCCAACCTGGTGGGCCACAGCCACTCATTCTGGCAGGCTCCACCTCCTCGCTCTTCCCGAGCCCGAGCACCCTCAGTTGAGCTGCCAGACTTCCACTGCCTCCTTTCTCTCTTTGCTCCAGGTCGCCCACTGGCCTTTCCTCCCTTGATCACCATCTGCATCTTTGTTTCTTGTGCTTGTTTTCAGCTCTGTTCTCTGAGTCTTTTGGTGGAGATAACGTCGACAATCTTGACTATCATCCCATATGGCTGCTGGATCCATGCGCAAGTTAAAACCAAATTAGAAAGGAAATTCACTGCCAAGAATGCTTAAAAGTCATAGGTCCAACGGATTAACCATTGATAAGTCAGTTGCAGACTCTGTTTCTAAACTGTAAAAGTGATTCATATGGAGGGGCTAATAGAGAATCACTCCCCAGGCTGAGCACTGAGGACCGAGCCAAACAGCCTGCTTACAATGATGGTTACTACACAGTGCAAACAAGTTGCAACCATATTCATTACCAAATGCATATGTAAACAAAGTCATCTCGATGTTTAAGGGAATCCTCTCAGTGTACAGATAATTTGTGTTCTCCCCTCTCCCAGACGCCATCCTCCCCAAGAAAAGACTCTTATTTCCTCACCAGCTGGCTCCACCCTTCCTGGCCAGATGTTCCAGCCTCCGGGCTCTGGGTCACAAACCCCAGACCCTCCTCCCAGCTGTCAGTCCTTGCCTGATCTCCCCTGGGACGAAAGTTCCTCACCACCCCTCACGCCACCAAACCAAGCCCCCTCCACCGCCCCCCGCCTCCTAAGAAGAGGCAAGTGTGTTACTGTTCGACCCAGCCCTCAGCCAAAAGTGGAGCGGAGAACGCCCACTCGTCTGGAGACAGTCACTGTGACTGAAGAGGAGGTGGGCAGTGTGTTTAGGGTAGAGCTGAGTTAGTAAGTTAATGTCTCTGTTTCTCCCCCAAGGGCCAGTATAGCCATTTCATGACATTTTGAAAGCTGTTTTCTAGAAGTTTCTTTATCCCCCAGAGTGAGGCAGGAGATTAAGAAAGCCTTGTTTTTATTCAGCCCTAAGTTAAGAACAAGCCAAAGCATAAGCCTTGAGCTTAGTGGTTAGCGCCTGAGCCAGGCCTATTCGTCAGCCCACAGAGCGGGCCCCACTCTCGCCAGGCTGGTTCGCTGCACACAGCATCGTTCAGGGGGAAAATGGGGACTCTCGTGGCCAAAAATGCCACTGTGGCATAGTAACGACTATGACTATCTCCCTCTGCCAGACATGTTGCTGTTCATGTTTCAGAATTTAAGCAGAAACAATTTAGAATAATAAAGCCTTCTAAACAGGCTAGACACTTCCTGTCAGAGGCCCCAGACTAGCCCCGAGCCCCACCATCAGTCCTCTGGGTCAAGGCAGCAGGCTCGGCCCCCGGGAGAGGACTGGAGGGAAGTGACTCAGCTTCAGAGCAGCTGCCCAGGCCAGAAAGTATCCATTCTCTTTTGGGCATTGGATGGCCAGAGATTTTCTTGAATTTGACATGCAAAATTGGATTATTAAGCTTAATTCATCCAGGCTGAGAAAACGGGAGGCTTTCGCTAAACCAGCCCTAAACCAGAGATGGAGGCAGCTCCAGCAGCCAGATGCCCAAGAGCTTCACCCAGAGGGCAGGCTCCAGAAAAGCAGTGAGTGTGGTTTGTCAGCCTGGAGCCCTCAGGAGGCAATGCACTCCCAGATACCTGCTCGGTGTCAGACAGGAGCCACATTCACCTCAAGGGCTGATTTGAAGCTTAACTCACAATTCAAGTTTGTTCAGTGGTAAAAACGCATCCCAGAGGCCCACGCACACGACAGCCCCAAGTAGGGCTAATGCAGCAGTTGGGTGGAAAGAAGAGGCTTTGGGTTTAGAAATTCAGCAGAGAGCTGCAAACCTGGTTCCCTGCCTCCTCTTTGAACACTAGTGTTTGCTACAGAAAGCCAACATTTTTTTTAACCGAATTTCTTTTGTCGTCTTCATATTAAAATAACTCCAAATGTAATATTTGAATCTGAAGGTCCCTTCAGAGACAAGCCAGATGGGCCAGTATCAGACAGCACAGGATGGTCAAATCACTTCTGTCGCTTCAGGCAAGGGAAGAAAGACTCGCTAGTTTTTCCGGGGTTTTTTTTAAATGCATTTTTGTGAAAATTTTGCAATTCATTTGGCAATTAACCAGATTTTTAAAGCCCTAGAAGAAGTTTCTCGGCATTGATGGTCCATGTTAAGAACTGAGTGTGCTGTAAAGTGGGCAGATGGGGAGTTAAAAGGCAAACCCCACACTGCAGTGATCTAGTGTGGAATGAGGTGACTGTGATGTGCTCTCAGTGTGTGTAACATACCCCACAATGCTAGCCCTGAAGGCGGTCTTGGCTCCTGGAGGCACAAAGATGCGCTCATGCCACGAGTCACTGTCCCTGCAGTCCTGTGACAGGGCCTAACACCTGCCTGGAGCCCCAGTGGCCCCAATGACCCTGACCTTTGGCTGACCAGGACTAATGCTGGTCCGCCTGGGGCCCTCCCACAGGACTGCCTGCACAGTCAGGGTTCTGATGTACGCTGTACCCCTTGCAGGTGGAGGAGGGGACAGGGTGCCTGAATATCCAAGAAGTGGGGGGAGGGAGGAGTGAGCATCTTCCTGTCACCGTTGGGCCACAGGGCCTCTGTCCTGCCTTGTGCTTCTCCCCCAGGACAAGTTAGAGGAGAGGAGAGACACATCTTCAGCCTACAATGTGCACGAAGGCCTGCCAAGCACCGCACAGCTGCACTCATTCCACACTTCCAGTATCAATTTGAGTTAGGTTGGTTTAATACCCACTGTGCAGACGTGGAAAACTGAGGCTTAGAAGAGATGTAAGTGACTTGCCCAGGGTCTCACAACAATGACAGAGTCTGGAGTCACTCTCTGCTCTTTCTGGCACCGAACACTTCAGGGGCTCTCAAACTGAGTGTCCTCCAGAATTTCCCGTGGAGCTTTTTAAAATGCAGATTCCTGGGCCCTGCTCCCAGAAAAGCTGACTCAGTATGTGTGCAGTGGAGCCCCGGAAGCTGAGTTTATTTATTTATTCCTTTCACAAGCATCCTGGATGACTGGGGCACATGGTCTTGGAGCAGCGTGCACTGCGCTTTTCCCTGTGGGCAGTTTCAGAACCCCCAGAGGGAACAGCACCGGCACAGATCCCCCGCCACCCTCAGCCCTGAGCTAGTGCCTGGCACCCAGGAGGCGTCCAGTTCTTATCTGCGGCATAAATGAGTGCTTCTTTGCCGAAGGATTTGGTGGGCTGGGTGGGAGAAGTCAGTATTTAGAAGTTCCCCAGTATCCAATCAGTACGTGGTCATTTAGAAAGAAGAATGAGACAGACAATTTTTCATCATTTTCATTTCCAGATGCATTTTTCCCATTAATCATTCCAAGCGCTTTCTGCATGAAGTCTGCTGGGCACTCAGGAGCACCTGGGTGCAATCCTAACTAAAGGCCAGCCTGTGGGCTACCTCATTATCCTAACAAATTGCTTGCTGGGGGAGAAAGCACAGCCTTTCTGACAGGAATAGAGCAGTTTCGCATAAAAAGCTTTAATTCCGTACTCTAAACTCACCTGGACACTTTCTTCCTTCCATTATCCCTGCTGGCAGCCCCAGATCTAACCTGAATGTCAAAAGCCTGGGCTATGGAGTCAGGTTTAGGTTCCCTACTTACTAGCTGTATACACTTGTTTGAGCCTCAGCTTACCTATCTATAAAACAGGGACAATAATAACAACCTTGCAGGCTTGTTCAAGGCGAAAGAGTTAATGTACGTCATAAACGTAACATGGGACGAGGCACTCGGCAAGCACTCGAAGTACCAGCCCAGTCATCAGCTAGTTTAGGGCAAGATTCCTTCTGCATCCCGTTCATGATGACTCCCTACTTCGGAACACCTCTTTCCTCAACCAATTCAAATCCTATGCATCCTTCAAGGGCGGTTTAAGGCCCACCTCTACCCCAAAGCCTCCTGCAGTCCTTCCCCACCTCTCTCTTCCACCCTTCTGAAGCGTAGCCTGCATGATGCAGCTCAGTGCTCAGCCTGGCTTGCTGGCTCACGGGCATGACCCCTTCTCCCCCCTGACTCTGCTCTTGTTGTTAGTTGCCATTGCTGTTGAGTGGGCCCCAACTCATGGCAATCCCATGAGTCCATTGTTGTGGCCACTGTGTACTTCGAGTGCGTTTCAACTTAGGGGGCTCTTCTTCCAGCCCTATATCGAACAATATTCTGCTGTGATCCATAGGGTTTTCAGTGGCTGATTTTTGGAAGTAGATCACTAGGCCTGTCTTTCTAGTCTAAGTCTGGAAGCTCTGCCAAAATTTGTCCACCGTGGGTGACCCTGCTGGTATTTGAAATACCAGTGGCACAGCTTCCAGAATCATAGGAGCATGCAAGCCACGCCAGTACGACAAACTGACAGACAGATGGTGGTCCCTGACTTCAGCTCCCTTTAAAGGACAGGACCCTGGCTCTCACTTGTCTGGTGTCCCCCACTGTGCCCTGCACAGTCTCAAGATCTCTCCCAGATGATTAGCAGAGCATCACTGGGAACATTAGCCTATTCTAAAAATGTAGCTCTGGAAAAAAGACTGCAAAAAGGACCCATCTCCAGATGCCCACGTGTCCTCTGGTGGGTGACCCTGAAGACCACACCTGGTGCCAGGATCATACAGTACCTGGGATCTCAGGTGTGCCACCTCCTCCGACAGGCTCTGTCTCTCCAGGAGAAGCTCGTTCTGCTTGTTGAGGAGCTGCACCAGCTGCTGGGCAGTGGCCTGGCTATGCCTGTCCAGCTGCTTTAGCCTGGAGAAAAATCCACCGCAGAATGAAAGAGGGGTCCTGAGACATACGGCCCACAGACTTCAGAGGTTAAAGGGGATGCTGGCAGATGCTGGCCCTTCAAACACCTTCCACTGTTATGTGCATTTGAACTCTGATTCCAAAATGTAATCAGCTGGAAGCCCAGGGTACCCTGAAGTGCAAGGTTTGGGTGAGCCGTGGGCCCTTGGTAAGCATTTGTTAAGTTGACTGGACTGGTCTCAAATGTGGAAGGGAACTGGGAACCTCAATGAGTGGTCAACTAGAAAATGCACAGATAAATTGGGTAAGTGAAGGAAAAGCTGAAACCTTAAGCTTACAAGCAGAGGTCAGAGATGAGGGCCTGCACGCCTCCAGTGATCAGCCGGAAATGCCTCTCGCCGGCGGAGCAGCCAGCCAGCCCTGGCTGGGGAAGCGGGCAAGGGACGACGGAAACACTAAAGTCAGGGCTTTTCATTATTAATCACTCAGTCAGTCACGAGCTGCAACATCGCTGACCAGATGTCTTTAAAGATCCTAAATTTGTCATTCTGCTGATGGGCTCTCCTCTCCAGACTTGCTAATTCACTCAAACTATTATCATCATTTGTCCACAGACGGCTTCCAACGGCCAGTAGCAAATGCACAAGTGGAAATGTAGGTTTTGGATTATATTTAGAGTGGAACAACTACCCAGATCGTTCTGGAAAAGTAGATGTCGAACGCCCTTCCTTACAGCCATCTCTGATTAAAAGCACCAACAGGGAAATTAACTTATGTTTTCACAAGAAAAGGGGTTAAAAAGCTCAGGGTGCATTTCAAACTCCAGTCACACACCCCGCAGAATCAGGGACCTGACAGGCTCTGTCTGCAGACACGGGCATCAGGCTGCCCACAGGTTCTCCTGTGGCTGCGTTTGCTGGGCTCTGAGCACAGCTAGACCTTTACAAGGCCACAGATCTGGCCTTACGGTGGGGGCAAGTAGGCTTACAACATCTGGGGACAGGTACAACTGTATTCTGGGACACTTAACCGTGTTCTAGTACTTTACTCACACTCTCCCCAGACTCTTTTGCAAAGTATTACCCTGTACACTGCCAGGACTGACCTACCGCCTGCCCTCCCCTGCCCTTCTCACCCTGGATCATTCCGCTGGAGTCTTTGTTCCAGCTGCCACAGCAGGCAGCCCTTCCTGCCGCTGGGGCGCGGTCAGCCCAGGCCCCTCCTCTGAACACTGAGGCTCCTGGCTTTCAATCACACCCAGCATTCTGCTACCCTCAGTCATTTATTTGCAAAGGTGAGGGGAACGGGAGAAACCTGCAGCTGGTGGTCGGAAGCCTGCACCTCGGGCATGCTCAAACCCCCTGACCACCTCCCATGATTCCATGGTGCTCACTTGCAGCGTGCTTCCTGCTTGTCTGCAGAAGAGCTGCAGGGACTAAGGACACAGGTCAGTTCTCTTTTCCTGTGTCTGTAGCTGTTCAGGGCAGGGTTCCCTCAACCCCAAGCTGGGCTGTAGTCCTGCCTGCCCAGCTTTCCAGTTCCCTGGATCAGATGGAACTAAACAGAACAGCAAAGGTCTTCTATCCAATTATGAGTGGTCCCTGCTTCTGTATTGTATAAATGATAACAACCCTCTCCCCCCAGATATCCTTCCTCTGATCTTGGAGAAGGAAGTAAGTCTCCTTCTGGCGATGCCTGTTTGGGAAGCACAATCTGTCCCCCCACCCCAGTCATGCTTGTGACATGAGGCCAACTTTTCCTCACTGGGGCAGACCAAACAGCAGCCTCTCCTGCTCTGGCTCCTAAGTCACCACCGTGCTGAGTGGGGAGACCCTGGGAGAGACCCAGGCGCTGGCACCAAGAGCCTTCGTGGGGGGCTGGCCCTCTGACACATGCACGCAGCCTATGCTGATTTGAGCACCTACTCCAACAAATGCATCTGAAGACGCAGAGATGATAACAGACTTCTTCCTGGAGAAGGAGACTGATCCAGCATTTGCACATTTAAATCAGACAGGTGACAATAATCCCATTAACAGTTGATCTCTCTAGACCCTTGGGTGGCCCTTTTCCCTCCAACCAAGTGGTGGTGGGCTGGGGGAAGAGCCACAGGTGTAACAGCTACTGAGGACGTAGCCCATCAGCTCCTCACTTGCTATTCTCCGTGTGGTGCCTCACCTGGCTTTGATCAATGGGGTAATGGGCCTGTGGGCTGGTGGGTCCAGTATGTGGTTGTGGGCTCCGGAAAAGGGACACTGTCTGATTCAGAGTCATCCTGCTGAGGCCTTGTTCCTGTGGAGTCCTCAGAACCCAGATGGGGCTCAGTGGGCGGGCCGTGCTTTGCAAACTGTGGGCCCGGGTCCCACCCACACGGCTGAATAAAGTCCCCGGAGTGAGCTGGCATCAGAACAGGAAGCCTGCTACCAGGATTCCCAGCACAAGCACCGCTGAGGTGAGTAGGGGCCCTTGAGGAGATCTGCCTTCCTGCCTGCCCTCCCTCCGGGAGGCCAAAGCCCTCACCCTTGTCCTGACTGAAGAGCTAAGGATGGATTTACAGTTGACTCATTTCTACTCCAACATGAATACTCCAAGCAGTCCCTCTTATGTGTGTTTTCCTCTCTTTCAAAATCATGTACCTTCCTTTTCTGGGGTCAGTCTTTTCTGACATTCCACATGCAGCAATGGGATCAATCACAGCCCAGAAAAGGTAACAACAACAAAGCCAGACTCTCATTTGTAAAACAAAACAGATTTTAGATAAAATCAACTTTGTTATGAAATAGATTTCAGTGGCAGCTCTTTCAAGTGCTATTACAAAGATTAGAAAAAAAAATTTTTTTAATTAAAAAGCTGTTTTTTGAAAAGCCCTCCCCCAAACACTGCACAACCCAGCCTACACTCTGTCAATGAACGTTTCGTTACCGTTAATTAGAAGAGATTTCTTGGGGTGTCCCACAGACACATAATCTTTTATTCCATTGTAGTTATCACTCTCATTTTTGTTGTACTTTTAAGTTCATTTCTTCAGCCAATCATGGCTGCAACTACCACCCCTACTAACATTTAGTGAGCCCCTGGGCTTAGCACATTTACATTGATTTTCTAATTAAAATTCCTCTACAATCCTATCAGGTAGGTGCCAGTATTATTGTCCCATTTTACAGATGAGAAAACTGAGGCTAAAAGAGGTTAAATTAACTTGTACAAAGTCACACAGCAAGTAAGTGGTAGAGCCTGGATTCAAATCCAGACAGTGACCTGTGTTCTGAACCACTGTTAGTGGTTAATTAATTCAGTAAATTAATTCTGCAAACTGACCAGCCTTTGCTAAACACCTCTCAATACTGGGAATACATCAAGAATGACAAAGAGTTGCTGCGCTCAGGGAGTTCCCAGTGAATTAATGAGAGGCCAATTTTGAAACAAACAGGTGCCGAATTCAACAGGATACTCTGAAGGCAGAAAGGCAAGTGGTCAACAAGGCAGGCAGGTGGTCTACTCAGGAGACAGCTCCTAATGATCATAATAATGACGACATTTAGCATTTACTGTGTGCCAGGCACTGTGACAAGTGCTTATCATTTATTAACTTTCTTAGTGGTCACAACAATCCCATCAGACAGAAACTACTATGCCCATTCTAAGGATGAGTAAACTGAGGCACAGACAGGATAAATGACTACACTCTTCTAGTAAACTAGAATATGAAGCGACAAGTGGGTGTTGGTCTGGCAGGGGCCAGGGGCAGGACATTCCCACAAGGAAGGCAGCACTACATATGAATAGGAGTGTCTGGGAGCTCCGAGCTGGGCCTGCGGGGAGATCAGAGGCTGAGGGCCGCTCAGAGGAAGGTAATGCTGAACTGAGTAAAGCTCTGTAAGCCAAACTGACAGATGTGGACTTTATCCTGCAGACAGTGGTGGTGCCGTTCACCAAGAGAGGACAGGCGGAGGCACTGGTCTGGAGCAAAGGGGCAGTTTAGGTTAGGAAGCACCTGAATGGCCTGGGGGGGGGACCTGTGGGGCATGCAGGGAGAGATGCCCACAAAGCAGTTAAGTGGATCGGGGCTGGGGACGGGTCGGGACTGGGGCTCTATCTGACGAAGAATGAGGCCATGAAATGGGGGTAAGGTTCACCCAGGAAAGGCTACAGAGATTTACAACTGGAGAAGTTTTTTATAAATGCACACATCCACGTCAGCCCCAACCTACTGGCTAAGAACTTGTGCTGGAGTAAGAGAGGAAAGGGCCAAGGGTAGAGCTTTGGGGAAGAGCAACACTGAAAAGCTGCCAGAGGACAAGAAGCCAGGAAGACACTGGGAAGGACTAAGGAAGATAGGAGGAAATCCAGGGGAGAAGAATTTGGAGGTCAAGGAAGTCCAGGCTCTCAAGGAGTGGCCAATTGTGTGAAATGCCCCCTAGTGGTGGACGAGTGAAGAGGCATATGGCAGCATCTGCCAGAGCCTTACAGGGGAGGGAAGAGGGGTTTGGCTGGGAGGAAGGTAGCCAGGGGAGTGCAGTGGATGGGAGAGACTTGAGCCAAGGGAAGGAGGCCCTAGAGGAGAGGGGAAATCCTCAAGGCAGATGATGGATGGACGGAAGGAAGCCTCCTCTTTGAGGCAGGAGGGAAGGCAGGCACCAAGGCAGCAGCTGAGGGAGCTCCCGTTCAGTAGTCTCCATTTTCTCCCCCAGGTAGAGGGCATCATTGTTTGCTGAGAAAAAGTGCGAAAGCAGTGAGGTGGCCGTGGGAGAGCTGCTGTGGGGGATGAGGGCACTGGCTAGGGCCAGGAACACACTTGCCAAGCTGAGGCTCTGTGGCCACAGCCGCTCTGACTGAACCTTTCCATGGACTCCACCCCTTCTCCCACCCAGGCAAGGCCGGGTGCTGCCAGCTCTCTGGCCTCGCCTCCCCTCTCCACGGGAAGCCCCCTGCCTTCTGCTCCTCCCACCTGAGAACTTCAAACTGCCCTTCTCTCTGCCTAGAATGTTACTCCTCTCCATCTT